AAAGAAACTGTTAAATGTTTCACAATTGTTTCCACAAACATTGTTCATATTTTCTTTATATGTTCAGTTATGTACATTTCCAACTATATACAGACTATATACAGTATATCAGACTATATACATCATCTAAGGCCTCACACTTAGAACAGCGCAAGTGTGTGATAATTAGTGAAGCGGTCAACGGGGCACAAGGCAACTTTGGGCCCAATGCACCAAGTGCAGATGGATCTTCCCTTTTGTTTCCCACATTGTGTGTTCTTGCAAACAACGCAGGCACATTTACTCTTGTCTCGTGTGCCTGTTATAACCAAGCTTATGTATTTCTTTTCCCCTGAGTCTGTCAGGAACTGCATGAGGCATTGTTGCTGGCACCCCACACGGCACAACACTACCCTCCACCCCATACTTCACCAGTAGTTGTGACACTAGAGCAACACAATGTACGGATTGGTGGTCTCTTGCCAGATTTCACAAGATACGTGTTGAAACAGTTCAGCACTGTAATGACAAGGAGGTAGAAAAATAATTTCTTCGTCCACTTCACAGATTTTCACATGCATTCGACGGCACAAACCATCATGTCACATTTATCTATTAACTGCATATTTACATTGTAGTCAATGACACAATCAGGTTTATACATTGGCAACCTTATTTCAAAATTCACTTTGCCACTGTCCAATATGGCACCGGTGTGAATAGTTGTCAACATATTCACTTTGTGTCTGTCCCTCCACCTCACGGATAACATATGATCACACTTTCGCAGCTAGCATTCACCCACTGCAAAACAATGCCAAACACTGGCATTTCCCTCCTGTGGGCCTTGACAGTGCCACATATGCAGGTGTTGTGGCCAAGGAGGAATCTGGTCAGCAAGGGGCTGGTATAGTAGTTGTCCATGTACAGGATATGCCCCTTATTCAGCAATGGTTCCATGAGTGTTTTCACGACACTTCCTGAGAACCCATGTTGATCTTGACCTGGTATGTTTACATCTGTACCTGATTACAATATCATGTCCATGACCATACCAATTTTGCAGTCACATAGCACGAAGAACTTTAGTCCAAACCTGTGCCGCTTTAATGGAATGTACTGCTTGAACGCCAGTCGTCCTTTGAACAGAACTAGCGATTCATCTATAACGATGTTATGTGCTGGTACAAAATAGTCATGGAACTTTCCTCTCAAATCACTAAATATCTTCCGTACTTTCCACACTCTGTCGTGTCAGACTGTGATACTGTGACAGACTACCTGTCTTCATTAACATTGTTCTCAAAATGCCGACAGCAGGTACCTATCACGTGACATCTATCTGTTGAACAAGAGAGTTGGAACAAGGCTGTCTTTGTTCCAATAATCCTGGATTACGTGGTTTAACTGCATGCCTCATCATCATGCACAATGCTAAAAACAAGTACATTTCTTCAATAGTCGTGTCTTTCCAACATGTCAACCGAGAGGCAAGTAAAATTCCAGAGTCAATTAGTTCCAGAGTGTATCCGTTCGTCTCTGCAACGAGATGGTCCATGAATGGCTGATGAAATATGCCATAAAGTAATCAATTTCATGTATATCATCACCAGTATAGGGGAATATGAGTGTCACACCTACATCGGTATCATCAAATGTTGGAATTTGTGGGACAAAATTATCACAATCCTGCAACATAAGTACCCCAGTATTTTTGGTTTTGGCGCCAACACCACAGTCAACCCTAGCACGAACACCACCAGCACAGGTGCCAACACCATGGCTCCATCGTCTTGTGCTAGAGCTGCGTGTGGGTATGCCACGAGATGAGACTGTTCTGTGTAGTATAGGCCTACCGCGAACAGGCCGCATGACACGCTCGCGCTTGCCTTGTTGTGGTGTTGGGGCAGCGAAACCCTGCCTAGTAACACCGTACCCGCTTGTACTTGGTTCATCATCACTGCTTATATCTAAGCCTATGTCACTGAACACTGAAAATGACTTATAACATATAGTATCACTCAGTAGACTCGCATCACCATCAGGTGACACAGATGGTGATGGTAACTCTAGCGGTATTGACCCAGGGCGACATGGGAGGCTGGGCGAGGCGCGTGTACTGTACACACTTTTGACATCGTCCACCTCAGTATCCCCATCACTCGTGTCAGACTCCTGTGCTAGGTATTTTTCTGGACTGTAGTCTATATCATCAACAATCGGTCCATCATCATACAATATGTCCTGTATTTCCTCCTCTGAGAGTCGTTTTGCAGCACCGCGGCTGAACATGGATCAGGAGCTCATAGACGATGCGTCAGACATGGTTGCTTCCTTGAAACTAAGGGTCCTCAGGGCCCCTGGGGCATGCTGGGATTTTTTTTTTTAAATGGTGGACGATTACTGGAGGCCTCGGGCATCCATTTCATACCCGAGTCACCGAGCGCCAATTTTGAATCCTATGCTAAAAATACGAGTGCCCACAGACGCTCGGTACACCCCTGATCTAGCGCCTATAGGCGCTCTGCGCAGTGCAGTGGTTAATCTGAACATTATCAACCCTGACTGATAATCCTCACAAAATTGAGTCCAAATTTTCTTCTCCAAACTGTGCCAGACAGAAATTTGGGTTACTGAGAGAGTGACAGGGTTATTGAATGATACTGGGAGACTCAGCAGAAGAAACCTTAGCATCTGGCAGTCAAAAGTGACCTTGCCAGTCTACCGTATGTAAATTTATGTTTATTGTGTGTGGAAATAGGAATTTTGTTTGTACTTTACTAAAAAAAAAAAAAAAAAAAAAAAAAATTGAATATTTTCATCTTTGGGCCTGCTGGTAAGAATTCCTGTGAAGCTGTCCGTCTAACTCAGAGAAGGGTAGGCCCCCATGTGAACCAGATTAGCGACCATTATCATTATTATGCACTTATTTTTACTTAGCACTAAAGTTTTGTTGTAGTTGAATAATAAAATTGCATCATTGTTAACCATTAAACTGCGCATGGCGTATATATACGCCATGAGTAACATGTCCCACAGTGCGCATGGTGTACATATATGCCATTGGGTGCCAGGCATGATTCAAATGGCCCGCGGCTACACGGGGTTCACATTAGCTTCCTCAGGGCTCTTGTAAACAGATGCCATTTTAAAAAAAAATCGTGGGCAATATTCTCAGGTGTGAGAGGCACAGTACTGTTGCAGCAACCAAGGTTGGTGCACGCAGCATGAGCGAACAGCATTGCTGTTCAGCTTGTGACCACAGCATCGACGAAAAATGTCAAAATAAATATATAATTGCTATTATTTAACGATGACAATATTACAGATGACCCCTGAATGTGATATAAATAACCAGGGTTGTGATAATGGCAGGATTGTTGTAATAATTAGCGCTGTGGGAGGAGTGATGCTGAGGGACGGAGGGAGATTGCATTGTTTACTGACTGTGTGGTCACCTGTTATTGTCTGCATTCACCATACCAGCTCAGTGGTTCTCTATGGTGAACACAAATGTAGATACTTATTACACTAATACACACATTATATATAACAGCAAAAGGATTATGCTGGGAGGAGCATTTTGGGTGACGGAGGTGACGTCGTCTGCATGATTTGTCTGGCTGTGCAGAGGGAGGCCACTATGCTCTTTGGGCATTCTACAAGCTTAAGTGTACAGTTACGGTGCATACAACATGTATATACTTATATATAATATGTGTATACAAGTATAGTGTAATAACACTGCAAACAGTATTGTTGGGGGAAAAAGGTTAGTGCGTGTGACCTTGAATGAGTGAGCGAGCCGCCAGCTGGCTGTGTGTATAGCGATGACTCTTAGTGCCTGAACTAACTATATCAGCTTAGCTGTACAGTTGTGGTGAACAAAATATATACATACTTATATATAACGTCTGTATATAGAGTCATAACACCACAAACGGTATTGTTGGGGGAGAAAGTTTGGTGTGTGTGACCTTGAATGAGTGAGGGAGCCGCCAGCTGACTGTGTATAGTGACGACTCTTAGTGCCTGAACTAACTATATCAGCTTAGTTGTACAGTTGTGGTGAACAAAACATGTAGATTCTTATATATAACATAATGTCTGTATATTGTGAATAAAATATAAAACAGGATGGTGGGAGGAAAAAGTGGGTAAGTGAGGCGTTGTTGAGGGAGTGGCAGCGAGTGGCTGGCTGGTGTGTGGCGGGTCACTCCTCGTTGCTTTTCGACTCTCAATACCAACTTAGTGGTTCGTTATGGTGAACAAAACATGCAGATACTTATATATAACCTGTGGATAGAGTGCAATAGCAGCAAAACTATTTGTTTATTGTTTTATGAACATAATTGAATCACTAATATGACACCATATTTTTGAGTATAGCGATTATTCCCCACTTTTATTATGTAAATATATTACAATACACACTATTGAATAATATTACTGCAGAAAACTAAGAAAAAATCAATCAGAGACATAGAAATAATTAAGTGATAATATCTTTGTGGCAACTCCCACCTGTCAGCGCGGGTGACGCTGACCGACTCTGACGACCACTCTGACGACCACTCTGTCAACACCCACTTTTTGCCAGACTTCCTCTGTCAATTGCACCCAAAATATTTTAACTACGATTTTTTTTTTATTTTCCCCGTTCTCAGGGAACACAAATTAAACATTTTAAGAAGATGAAATAATTTTTTTTTTTTCTTGCGCACAGGGGTGTAAATGTCCTCAGGATCCCTGAGCAGTGGAAGGGTTAAACCAGTGTCTTTAAAGTACTTCTCAGTTAATAAAATTTATAAGTGCTTTTTGGTTAAATGTTTTTATGAAACAGTGACAGAAGCTTATTTACTGTGCATGATTCTATAATAGTCAAAATATTGTACCTTCCATTTGCTATTTGGCAAAATTGTGTTGCTGGAGTGTGATAAAACAAAGTGCGTGTGTTTACTGTGTAATTGTTAATGGTTAAATATATTTACTGAAGCTTTTAAACCAAATTTTGTTTGCAGCATCTGCCAATGAGAGGTTAAGTATGCAGCATGAAGATCACTTCAGTGTCAGTCGCCCAGTCAGAGTTCTTGGGGGTGGTTTACCTTATTGTGCCGAGTGGGCAGAAATCTGCAGGTGTGCTGGAACAGAAGCTATACAGAACCTCGGTAGAGCTGGGGAGATGCGAGCAAGCAGATTTCGTTCTGTGTGTTGGTTGATATATTTAAAAATTCTACCTGATGATCATACACAGGTAATATAATAAATTAATTTCCTTGTTTCTCATCAGATTTAAAGCTTACTCAGTACTCTCTTACCATCATCAATCTCCTCCTCCTTACCACCTGCAACATTTGGCAGTTGCAGCCTTTGCTTGTAAACCATAATCAGGATCATCTCTATTTGCTTCTAACTACCCCACAGTATTATTTATATTCAAATTATTAGCAGCTTCTTAATAAACATTTTGTAGTTTGCATTATCAAATCTGTTATGTTCTACAATATCAATTATCTCTATCTACAGGTTTTGGCTTCATAAATCATTCCAAGACCTCTCATATGAAGATTTACTCTCCTTATGTCCATCATTATCCCAGTTGTAAATAATTGTTAAAATTTTCTAATGCTCTTCTCCTTATCCCCTTTTTGTGTTTGACACTGGCTTCGCGATAATGTTATTGCAGTCCTTAAATCAATACACGTAGTTCAGCAGAGGATGTTAATGCCCTCCACAATTAAAACATTTGTAAAAATTTCATTTATTGTCAGATTATTATAGGACTTGTTTCATAATGTGCGCATTTCACGTATAATGTGAAAAAATGGACCACTATGGAACCAGTGGAAAATGGACCACTAATGGATCACTAGTCGCGCATGGCTTTCAAGCAGCCAGAGTTGCCACAAATTTATTTACAGTGTCCAGGTGTATTTTACCACAATTTTCTAGAGGGAGCCTCTTCAGCTCCCCCAGAGCTATCCAGGCTGATACAGTGGTACCTCAGCTTATGAATTTAATCCGTTCCCAGAGACAGTTCGTAAGCTGAAAATTTGTAAACTGATGCTACTTTTCCCATTAGAAATAACGTAAATTAATCTGTTCCACACTCTTCCCAAAATTAACTTCAAAGTAAATTTTATACCTAATTCACCCAAATCTTTAGTACTAAAGAATGGACAAGTTATTGCTTACCTATATTGATGACTTGTTAGCATATGGAAGACAGTGAGGAGGGGGGATTAGGAGAGGTGTTAGTGTTTGGAAAGGGAGTCCACTTTCATTATAACATCAGGCAGTGATGACTTCTCTAGGGGTACACTCTCTGGCACGTTTTTCCTGCATACCACTAGGACCTGCTTGTGGCTCTCTACTTGTTTTTCCTCGCTAAAAACCTGTCTAGTGACACTTGTTTTTCCCTACGTTGTAACACTTGTCTGAAGTGAGACATCACATTGTCATTAAAAAGGTTAACACAAGGGCCTACTACTGCTTGCTCTGGGTGAATTAACAACTTTTCAACATCCTTAAGAGTTTGTGTTCTTTATTTCGTGATTGTTGATACACCTTTTGCTACTTTAGCACTCATAATGTCCTTTTTCTTAACAATTGCAGTGTATATCGTTAACATAGATTTGTTGTACTGCATAGCTAGTTTAACAACCTGTGTACCATTTTCATGTTTACGAATGATCTCTTGTTTTTCCTCTATGGTTACTCTCACATATGTTTTCTTGGCTTGAACCTTACCACTGCTTTCTTGGGACCCATGGCAATATATATTATAATAACTTTTATGTTCAAATACCCAAAAAACTGAAAAACACTAAAATTCTTTACAAAGAATTCAGGCGGGATTGTCACTAGGCAGGAGGCACTGGTAAACTGAGGCGCAGTCGCCGTACTACCACGTGCTAGGTCGGCCATACGTGTATCAACAAACTTCATTTCCCGAGGCAAAGTTCGTAACCCGATTCGTATTTTACAAAGAAATTGGGCTCGTAACCCGAAAAGTTCGTAAAGAGGGGCATTTGTAAGCCGAGATGTCACTGTATTGCTAATACAGTGGGGCCTCCACTTATGATGGTAATCCATTCCCAGAGATATATTGTAAGTCGAAATATCGTAAGTCAAAACAAATTTTCCCGTAAAAAATAATGGGAATTGAATTAATCCGTTCCACACTCCCCAAAAAATTACCTTCAAAGTAAATTTTATACCCAATTCACCCAATTCTTTAGTACTATGCAGAGCACCACTTGGTTTCCGAACCCCATGGGGACGAGACCCGTCGGTTATTACGTAAGTTCGTAAACGAGGAATGGAGGAAAATGGAGAGATTTTTTTTTTTAAATTTAACAAAAAATTCTAAGGGAAAAAATCGACAGATTCATAGCGTAAATGCAACAAATGAAATAAAGTTCATTGTGTAATTGCGTTCACTCACCCCCACCCTTCCTTCCCTCACTGCTTCTCTCTCACTGCATCTCCCCCTCACTGCCTCTCCCCCTCACTGCCTCTCCCCCTCAATGCCTCATTGTCTCTCCCCCTCACTGCCTCTACCCCTCACTGCCTCTCCCCCCTCACTGCCTCTCCCCCTCACAGCCTCTCCCTCTCACAGCCTCTCCCCCTCACAGCCTCTCCCCCTCACAGCCTCTCCCCCTCACAGCCTCTCCCCCTCACAGCCTCTCCCCCTCACTGCCTTTTCCCCTCAATGCCTCTCCCCCTCACTGCCTCTCCCCCTCACTGCCTTTTCCCCTCAATGCCTGCCATCCCTCCCTCACTGCCTTCCTCATAACATGAGAACAGCAGGCAGTTAGTAGCTTCCGGGGGAGCTACTAACGGGGTCGGGAACTACTAACGGGGCGGAGGAGGGGGAGCTACTAACGGGGTCGGGAACTACTAATGGGGCGGAGGCTGTGTAGAGGCGGACATGTCTGTCAGCGCCTGCTCACAGATGCCAGCTGTGCATAATTCATAAATAAAACTATATTTGTTTAATTAATAAATAGGAAATGATATAACATGTTAATGATTAATAATGTATATTAATATATGAAAATTAACATTTTGGCATAAATATTTTACAACTAAGATTAAAATTTGTAATACAATATGACTGAGAAGTTAGGCAACCATCGCCTGGTCAGCAAATCCTTCCTTACTGCCTCCCTCACCACTCCACCAACAGAGGGGGGAGGGGAATTAGTGAGAGAGGAGAAATAGTGGGAGAGGGGGAGAATTAGTGAGAAAGGGAGGGAGGGGAAGGTAGGGAGAGATGCTAGGAGGAAAGTAGTGAGGGAGAATTAGGGAGGGAGGGAAAGGCAGGCTGCCTGCCTCTCTGCCTGCATGCCTCTCTCTCTGCCTGCCTGCGCCTCTGCCTGCCTGCCTTTCTGCCTCTCTGCCTGCCTGCCTCTCTGCCTGCCTCTCTGCCTGCCTGCCTCTCTGCCTGCCTGCCTGCCTGCCTTTCTGCCTCTCTGCCTGCCTGCCTGCCTCTCTGCCTGCCTGCCTCTCTGCCTACCTGCCTGCCTGCCTGCCTGCCTGCCTCTCTGCCTGCCTGTCTGCCTCTCTGCCTGCTTGCCTGCCCTTCCCTCCCTCCCTAATTCTCCCATCCCCCCCTCACTACTTCCATCCTGCCTACCTCCCCCTCCCTTTCTCACTAATTCTCACTAACGAAACTTTTAGATTTTTTCAATTTTTTTTATTATTTTGTATTTTCTATAGAAAATGGAGCAGCGTACCTGACATCAACTGAATAAACCTTTTAGACATTTTTCTGTTTTCAAATTTTTTTATTTTTTTATTTTTTCATTTTTTCTGGAGGTAGCCCCTTCAGCTTCCCAGAGCTATCCAGGCTGATATGCTAACGTCAGATTTTGGCATCAGTCATGTGTATGGCATTCTGTAGGCTTACCGGGGACCACGAGACAGAACCTAGCCCCCTCAGAGAGGCATGGGGAGCAATGGCCTATAGAAACCCCCGTGTGGTTGGAAGCATTCTATGTCTGCCATCGACCGGGTCAGGCACCCAGAAAGGTAAGCGTCCCAAAACAAACCCCTATTCTTGTGAAAATTGCTACAAAAAGCCAAACAAGTGGATAGAACTCCCTAAACCAGAAACGAGCAAACGATCATGACATCACACGTCGCCGCATCGCTGTCTGCACAGCTCCCCCCCTCTTTCCGGGAGGGAAAAGGGGGAGCCCCAGACCCCCACGCCGGCCATCCACACCTAAGTTCTGAGGTTGATGATAGAAGCAGAGGTCATGTGCTCTGGCTCCAGTGATTTTCCAGCACCGTACTTTGTGTGTGGTGGCTGTCTTCCAGTGGTGCGCGAGCCAGGAGTTATTTTACAGTACTCGGGCTGCATGCGCCTTGGGTTCCCCTTCCCTAGGTGCCCTATGAGTACTGCCCTTGGGGCGTGAGGCCACCTTCCGCAAGTTCCTTGGGTCCTGCCTCTGCTGGGCCGTTATACTGCTCAGTTTTTTGGCCGCCCTTTGGGTGCTTGGGTGTTTTGTCTCTCTTGTTTACCTTAGGGGTAAGAGGCAGTTTGCACTAGTAAGGGGCGCAGGGTACTGCGCAGCTTGTTTTCACCATTCATAGCGGCTGGCTCTGTTCCTTTGGGTACTCTGTCCTCTTGCGGGGGTTTTCTTTTTCTTTTTATTGTGTTGCTTGGTGGGGTGGGGGGGTTCTGCCTTGGTTGTTGCCCCCATTGTACCTGTATGAGTACGATTGTCTCTTCAGGTGGTGCCTCCTGCTAGGTCCCCGTGAGTGTACACGTCCCTGGGGTTCAACTTTAGGGTATTACGGAAAAATGCGATAAATGAAAACTGGTTCGATTTCAATCAAACTTTTTTGACTAGTTGTATATAAAATTTGGTTTAACTGGCCCAAGTCTCAGCATCAGAGCATAAATAGGAAGGGAGAAAAAAAAATATTGAAGTGTGTCAAAAATTTTCCAAAATGGTCAAAAATTAACATCAAACAAAAATGTCAACTGAAATCATGTCTATGACTCTAAGCTATCACAGTAGAATATAATAAAGTGTTTTAATATTTAAATGCCAAAAAAAAAATTCCACAAAAAACAAAAAATTTGATTTTTTATCTTTTTTCATATTTTTTACCAGCCAATTTGCATGAGACTTATACACCTTACAGAATGTATGCCTATCTGTAAAGATGCAAATTTTGGAGGAAATTGATTGAAGTCAACTTCAACCATAGGTGGCAAAATGTTTGATCATATTTATT